TCCCAGGGTATCCAGGCTGTCCTGGTTTTCCAGGTGTTCCAGGTGTTCCAGGATACCCTGGTTGCGATGGTATTTCAGGTTTCCCAGGATATCCAGGCTGTCCTGGTTTTCCAGGTGTTCCAGGTATTCCAGGATATCCAGGTTGTCCAGGTGTTCCAGGTGTACCAGGATATCCTGGTTGCGATGGTATTCCAGGTGTGCCAGGATACCCTGGTTGTGATGGTGTTCCAGGCGTTCCAGGTGTTCCAGGTTTCCCAGGATATCCAGGCTGTCCTGGTTTTCCAGGTGCTCCAGGTATTCCAGGATATCCAGGTTGTCCAGGTGTTCCAGGTTTTCCAGGTGTACCAGGATATCCAGGTTGTCCTGGTATTCCAGATGTGCCTGGATATCCTGGCTGTGATGGTGTTCCCGGTTTCCCAGGATATCCAGGATGCCCTGGTGTTCCAGGATATCCTGGTTGCGATGGTATTCCAGGATAGCCAGATTGCGGTGGTGTTCCAGGTGTACCTTGTTGTCCAGGATACCCTATAGCAAATAATTTCGATATCTATAATTAATAGAAATTTGTATATCTTTTCTAACATCACATATATAACGTATAGAAACTTACTAATTACTTTTATACTGTTATGTTATGTTGTACATGCAGGTTTATTAGGATATTTCATTACTATGAATGTCATTGATCTGATCTTGTGGCCAATGATCAAACACTTTCTGCTTTTTTACCTTGCTTTTTATTACTAAATGTTATTGCATTGCGTCACAATACACACACCTTATTTATATGATACTTATTTACCTGGTGCTGGTATCACGGTTGACCCGGAACCCGTTCCATCGAATTGCCTACATATCTCTGGAAAGTATAAATTCGCCCATTCCGTGATCACACCGTGATGATCATGATGATCATCGTGCTGATGTCGTTCCGAGTCATCTTCGTGGTGATGCTCGTGTTCATGTAAGAACAATTCAACCGAGTTCCCTGGTTGAACGACCCGATATCCCCAACCATCACTGATATAGAACGTTGTTTTCAATTTTCCAAATGGATCGATGTATCCGTAACATCCGTAAGTAATATCATCGGGTCCTCGTACTTCGTGATGAAATTGTCCGTTGGGGCTTATTTCGTATCCATAATTATACGCATCTAACGCGAATGTTAATGTAATTAGTTTAGATATATAAAAAATTACTCCTAAGAAAAGTATGCTCCTATTAATTATACACTTACTGGAATAGAAGTCTTGATTTAGATATTGAGTTTTCTGATCGTCACTGATGTTCAGTATCACTTCTCTACTCTGCCTGCTTTCTTGCTGCTGTGCGCATTGCAACAAAGATGTGGCAATCACCTGTTACATACAAACTCACGGTTAATTACGGCTTTGTCGTCGTAATAAGTTTCGGCATTTTATTTGTCAATTTAAACTTGTTGCGAACTTGTAATCGTGCACGTGATCGGAAAGCTATTAATAAATGCTACTTTACTACTTTGTTGGACATGCAACTCAAATTATACGATCAATTACATTGGAACGATAATTGCTAATATGATATCAGCTGACGTAGGTATTCTAATTTATTCTTCGACAGGTGAACTAGTCTTGTTCACCTTTTGAAAGTTTAGCGAAGGTTCAGTAACATCTCGACTTGTCATCGTAAATGTCAAGTCAACCACTATTAGAAACATACTTCATAGAACTAATGTGCAACTGCACTTTACTCCGAAAATTGCGTTTTCTATATTTCTAAGTAACCAATTAGACGATATAAGTAACAGTCAGCTAACACATGCATAGATTAGTTCTAAAGTTAAAAATCGAATTTCCTTTTTATCCTGATTTGTATTTCCTAGTTAAAGATATAAAGTATAATAGAATGTCGTTTTCTTAAAATGTCTTGAAAATTCTGCTTTCATCATTAGAGTATGTATACACACTGAGGAAATTAGAACAAGATTGTATTGTCATCGATATCATCTTTTCTCAGCAAGATTGTAATTCCATATTTCTGCAAGAGAAAAATAGCATGATCGAAGGCTGGAAAGCTATACCCCGACTTAATCAATGACGACAGCTTTTAATCTTCTCATTTCAAAGGCGTCCATTAGCTTATTTCTCGCGAACGTCCTTTAGCCAATGTATACAATGTATATTAATAGCGGTTTCTATAAATGAATTATATGCAGTCGCTCGCTGCACACGGTTGTTACATTAAAAATTCATTAATCGCTGTTCGTTTACGAGAATGTTTCACAAAATGTTCCGACAGATTAAAAAAATTCTTTTTGTCTTATTATCGGACAAATGGGAGCAAAAAACTGAGCGATCTCGATACTTTATTACACGTCTCTTCGTTCGTGATCGACTGCTGTGCGAGAAATGAGGGAGAGACTACTGAGAAAAAGATCTTTTTCTTTTTCGTATTGGCTATTGAAAGTAAAAGTCGTGTAATTTTTCGACGAGACATCGTCGTGTTTCGTAATGGAACGAAAGTCCGACGACACTTAGGAACATCGACAACTGTTGCTGCGTTTTACGTTTCGAGTTCCTCTTCCACGACGAAATTTTACTTTAAAATAATGGTCCATCAGACTCGTACGATTTATACTGGCAAGCTGGTTGTTAAAGGATAAAAATCATTTAAATTTATTGTTGGTGCTTCTGGCGCCATTTGCGTTTTCAACCACGTTTCATTTTATCTCTGTCTTTTTTTTTTTTTCTTTTTTATTGCACCCTGGAAATTACCGTGCAATTATCATACATTACACGTGATAAAAGGATAGAGGGATAACGAAGTTACTCGATTTTATTGCTCTACGCTTGTCCGTGTTGTTGACGTTGCGGTGCAGCCAAGAATATTGCAATAACGTGTAACGTGTGCATAGTGAGGTAACGATCATTATGTAAATTTTACGTGAAATTTACGATGATTTAGTTTCCCAAGTGTCGCGAATATAAGAATTATTTAAACTACTTGTTACCTTAAACTCTCCAAATTTAGTTCCACTAATATCCTACTTTGAACAAAGCCAGATGCTTTGCTTTATTGTATTGTTCTATTTGTTAGAAGCTTTGGCGAGGCTTAAGCAAAGCTCATGATAAATATAACAATGTATAAATAAAGCAGAGCTTCTGGCTTTGTTTAAAGTGGAATATTAGTGGAGCGAATTTAGAGAATTTAAGGTAACAAGGAGCTCAGGTTAAAAAGTATCGTTCGTAAGGAAGTTTGTACAATGATACTGTTTCTCCGAGGATTTTAATATTGAAAGAGTTGCGTTGGCAAAAATTATGAACATAATTAAATAAATAAAAGTGCTTCATTCTTAGGAACTTCGAAAAAGAGAAAAAATGCAATAATTCAAAGAAAATGACAACTCTTTACACTGAAAAAAAAAAAGAACGTAAGAGAAAAGAGAGACTGCTATTTTTAATTATATTTATATTAAATAACATTCGCGGCACTTCACATTTTTGATGCTACACGATAAATTAAAGATACATATATTTTTCGTTTAAGTGGATTATTTGAATATTTCATTACGCGACACCTCTGTCCTATTTATCATCGCCCACACGTGTGAACCGAAAGTGAAATTTCGAAGGAGCTTTCGTATCTCGACGAACCCGGTCGAACGAGCCTACATTCGCACTGTTTGCTCACGTGTTTATCGGTTACTGAAAAATCGATGGTGAGCAGAAATTATTAGTCGCGTTTGAAAAATTATTATTCCACGTTGTATATCGTTCGATTTATGTATCGGTAACCATGTGTCGCGGTTATCGATTATTGGCGTTTCTCTAATATTTAGTGAGAAAAACTGCTGAATTGCTCGAAAAGTTCGTAGCATTTTTATTAAGAATTATCCGTAGACGTGGAAGAAAATTAAGAAAATAGCAAAAAAAAAAAAAA